CTTTTTTTTTTTTTTTTTTTTTTTTTTTTTTTTTGTGGTTTGAGACAAAGACGTCAATTTCTCTCCATCTGTCCCAAAAAGGGAAGAAAGTTAATTTGTTTCTACAAGGATGTCAGCTCACTGCTTCAATAGGGAGTCAGGGGTGTGTGCGCCTGTGGGGGGAGGGGGCGGGGAGAGGCGATGGAAGCACGGGGGAGGCTCAGGGAACAAGGACAGACCCCCATATTCAGGAAAGCAAAGATCTGGGAATGCCTGAATAAAATGCCAAACATACGAAGAGAAAAACCTCTATGCCTTGCTCGGGGTGGACTCGCCCTCCGCAGCTTGAAGGGGGCAGCTGGGATAAGCAGGGCGGGGGGGGGGGGGGGGGGTGGTGGTGGCTGGGGAGCACACAGCATTGGAAACACTGGACACACTGGGCACAGCCAGGGGTTGGGAGAAGGGAGAGGATTTCTCCTGGAGGTCCTTACCAGACACCCAAGACTGGGAGGAGAAAAATCCACATTGGTGCTTCAGATGCCCCTATCCAGTCCCAGGGTCCATGGAGCTCTAACTAGCGCGGTCCTCCGTCCTCCGGTACCTGGGCAGAGAAGTCAGGCCCCTGGGACGCCCCCCCCCCCCCCCCACCAGCGTCTGTCCCCCAGTTTGGGGACCTAATGTCACAGCGGAAGTTCCCCAGCCTCACCTCTGCCCGCCCACCGCCCTTGGCTCAGAGGCTGACTTGTAGCTCTGGTGTTGGAGCTACAGGACCTCCTTCTTAGCCCCACAGAGCTCAGGGCTGGAGACCCTACCCCAGCTGAGGCCCTGCCTGAAGCCGCTAGCCCTGCTCCACTGTCATGTCCCAGGGCCCACTGGCACAATGTGCTGGGGACACTACGTCGCTGCTGAAGCCATTCCAAGAAAATGGCTGTCAAGAACAGAAAAGGTATATTCTCTCTCCCTCTCTGTTTTATTTTCTCTTTATTTATAAAGTCCAGTTGGACCTAGGGCTCGGCAAGCCCCGCCTCTTGCTAGAACTCAGGGCTTGGGACTCTACCCCAAGGTTGAGGCGCCCACCCCCTGCACACAGGCCCTATCCTATCCTCACGACCCAATCTTGAGCCGCAGGCCGCCTCACTGTCCTGTCCGTCCCCCTCGCCCCCAGAAGAGGCCCGGCCCCACCACACAGAGACCCACTCTTGCAGCCCCTTTGTCAAGCCTCCAACTCTAGCACTGCTCCCTGGGTCCCGGGCCCAGTTCTTCAGGTCCCAGGCCAGCAAGCCTGCTCTGGCCAGAACCGGAAGCTGGCTCACCGCAGAGGCCCCGTTTGAGCCGCCGAGTCCCAGAGCCACAGGCCCTGCTCCACCAGGGTCGCCAGCTCTTCTCACCCAACACCAAGCCGACCGCGCCCCCACCCAGCCCGGAGGCACCGCGCCACCGCCTTGCCCCGTGCCCCGCCCCGCACCCGAGGCCCCCCCCTCCCTCGCAGGGGCTCCAGTCTCTCGGCCCCTGCCTCCGCTCCAGCACGGGCCCCCTTCTCCAAAACAGGGGCCCTGTTCGCCCCACTCCGCGTCGCGGCCCCGCCCCCTGCGAGCCCGGGGAGTCGGCCAGGTCACCCCGGGGAGTGGGAGGACGGCGGCGGGGCGGGCCGGCGCGGTCACGCGGCAGCCCCCCCGCCGGGACCGTCGGACGGGGTGCAGGCGGTGACCCGTTCGCGGGCCGCGGTTTCGCGGGCGCGGCTAAAGCTGCTCCGCTCCGGGCGGCCGCAGGGCATGCGGCAGAGCTGGCGGAAGCAGCGCTTGAAGTTCTCGTCGAGGAAGGCGTAGAGCACGGGGTTGAGGCTGCTGTTGGCGTAGCCGAGGGCGATGCACAGGTGCAGCGCGGCCACCACGAGCGGGTCGCGGCGGTCGATGTCCACCAGCGTCCAGACGATGACGAAGATGTGGATGGGCGCCCAGCACACCACGAAGGCGCCCACCACCACGAGCACCATGCGCGTGATGCGCCGCAAGCTTCGGTCCTTCTCCTTGGAGCCGGAGAGTAGGCGCACGCTGCGCAGGCGCAGCAGCATCAGGCCGTAGCACACGGTGATGATGAGGATGGGCACGACGAAGGCGAAGAGGAACACGCAGATCTTGGTCACCGTATCCCAGTACCAGCTGGGGCTGGGGAACTGGAGGGTGCATACCACTGCCCCGTCTGCCGGGGAAACAAGGAGAGACAGACAGGAGGAGGTGAGGGTTGTGTGGGCCTGAGCATACCCTGCCTGCTTGCTACCCTTCTTGGTTTGGGCAGGTCCCACGCCTCCTCCTGGCCTTTGCTCAAGGTAATTCTTCTGTCTGGAATGTCCTCTTACACTTCTGTACTTGATGAACTCCTACTCATCCTTAAAGACCCCAGCGGGATTGGCCCTAATCTAGGAGGTCTCCTTTCTATATTTTCTTCCAGTCCCTTCCAAAGCCTCTACATCCATGGCCAGCAGTAATCATATAGTTTAGCCCAAAGCCCCCAAATGCCAGTTGTTGTGAGAACTCAAAACACCCTACCCATTTCCAGACTAGCTGCAATGGGGACAATACTGCTAAGATTGACCTAGAGAGCATGAATTAAGAGAACTCAGGCCTTACTAAACCTGTGGTGTGAACCTGGGCAAATTATTCAGCCTCTAGGAGAGCTTCCACAAAGTAGGACTGATAACAGTACTTAAACCTCACAGGGTTGTTGTTGCAAGGATTCAATAGGCTACGGCATGTGAAACATTAGTACAAGGTGGTTCAAGCTCTTGGTGTAGTCACAGGGCAGAGGGACAGATACATATAGGAGTCCAGAAGTCAGGGCTAGGTCAGGGAGGCAGATCTCAGCTTAATGGCAAGAAGAGCTGACTGCTAGATTTGTCCCCAGGTGTACCCAGGGTGGAATGAGCTCCCTGTTCCTGGAGTGTGGGTGTGGGCTGGATGAGCACCTTAGTGGATGTTTTGGGATTCAGAAACAGGCCTGAGACTCTCCTGGGGAGCTCCCAAGATCTCTTGGAACTCTGGGATTTGAGGAGCCATGCTGTGGACTTGGATCCTGAGAGTTGTAGAAAGGGTGCTGGGGATCCACAGAGGGGGTCCACTGGACACCAGGATGGCAGGACCCCCAGGGATGACTGAGTCCAAGGACTTCATTGTGCAGATGGCAGAACAAGGCTCAGAGAGGAACAGCACTTGTCCAAGGTCACACAGCAAGCTGCATACAGAACCAAGTGCTGAGCGGGGAGGATGTGCAGGGGATGGAGTGCGGAGAGAGGAGGCCCATCTGGTCTGACCCCTAGCAGGGCTACAGTTAATGGCCCATAAACTGAAGGCTGGCAGTGAGCAATGGGGCCCAGCTGCTGAGTCAAGACCAATTACAGGGAAGCTGTATGTGATGGTTAAGGTGGTCAAAAGGCCTCCCACCAAACCTATTCCCCTTCCACCCACAGCACGACCCTCTGCAGACCTCCAACTCAGGGGGCAATAGGAGTAACAGATACAAGGGCAGGAGCCTTGGGTGCTAGGCCAAGTTCCATCAAATGCCTAGCCACGTGACCCTAAGTAAGCCACCTGACCTCTCTGATTCTGGATGTATCCCTGCCTTGTCCTGAATATTTTACACATAGAGCCTCATTTAATCCTCTCAACACCCCATGATACAGTGTGGCTCAGATAGGTTAGTGACCAAGGTCTTTAACATGGTTAAAACTACTTTCTGTCCCACTTCCTTATGTCAAGCAGGAGCCACATAACCAGCTATCACTAGGAGGAGATGGGCCATAACATCTAAATGTTGGCCATACTCTATCACTCCTTCTCCATATTCATCTGTTGGCCAAATGCCAGCAGTGGAGGATTCCAAAACCTTCTTTAGGAGCCTGGGTTCCTGAAGAACTGTGGAATAAGAGCTCCTCCTCCTCTGATTCACGTTAGACGGTGATATGAGTGAGAAATAAACTATACTGTTAAGCACTGAGCTTTGGGGATTGCTTGTTACAGCTGCCACCCTGACTGATAGAAGTAGTTACTAAACTAGTTACCATTTTTACTCTGAGGGAATGTACCTGTTATTCTCTAACGGCCATTCTCTAGGGCTTGCTTTGGTCATCTGGGCCAGTGGTTTTCAAACTGGGGTGGAAGGGCATTTGGGAGGAGACTGTAGATCTTATGGCCTCCGCTGCTCCCTGGTCAGTGACACCCTCACCCAATTGGCCACCCATCTCCCTTTAAGCCAGTCATCCACACACTCCTGGCCAGCTGCTACATCCCCATAGATCAACCCTCCACCATCCCATTCGTAAATTTCCGTTGGCCAGCAACCCATCTGACCACTGACCAGTCATCCGTTGTCACAATAGTCAACCATTCATGTCCAATTGGTTGACTACACACCCTCTCACTAGCCAGCCACCCACACTTTGATCAGCAATCCACACCTCTACTGGTATGGAGCCAACTACATCCACTCTAGTAAGTGGCCTGCATACCCACAGGGGCCCCCATGCTGCCTTCTGTGGTCAGTGGCTGTACCAAAGCTTCCTCACTCACTCACCCCGGGGGCGGGTCACGGCCATGACCATGATGGGTACACCAACACCTGAGGCCAGGACCCAGATGCAGATGTTGATCAGCTTGGCCTTGGCAGGTGTGCGGAAGTCCAGGGCCTTGACAGGGTGGCAGACAGCAATATAGCGGTCGACACTCATCATGGTGAGTGTGAAGATGCTGGTGAACATGTTGTAGTAGTCAATGGAGAGCACAACCTTGCAGAGCAGTTCTCCAAAGGGCCATGTCTCCATCAGGTACTTGGCACTCTGGAAGGGCAGTGTGCTGGTGGCCAGTGCATCTGCCAGGGCCAGGTTGAAGATATAGATGTTGGTGGCTGTCTTCATCTTAGTGTACCTTAAAAGGAAGTGCGTGTGTAATCGTCCCCATTTCACAGATTTCAGTTGCACATGAGACTCAGAGGAAATGATTTGCCCAAAGTCACACACAGAAGGTCAGTGGCAGAGGTGGGACTAGAACCCTAAACACTCTGACTCAGCATCACTCCTTCTCACTATAACAGATGCAAAAGGATTTCTCTGGCTGTGGGTGACTTTGGCAGAAAGTATTTTAGGAAAAAATCCTTTGTCATCTGAGGGGTACTAAGCAACATGGTTAAAAACAAAACTGGGCTCCAGAGGAAAACAGGTCTAGGTTCTAACCCTGCTTCTACTAGTTAGTAACAGAGGGACTCTGGGCTGGTAATTTGAACTCTCTAAGCCTCAGAGTCTGTAAATTGTAAAAAGGGAGTGATGCTTTTACCAACCTCATAGAGTTCATAGATCATACAGCACGTATCCCTGAGCCCAAAGCATGCAAGGGCTCACTATATGATAGTTATTATTCTTCCTATGTGAACAATGAAGCTGGGGACTATACGAGAGTGACCTGACCCTCTGGCTTCTTCCACTGACCTTTTGGAAATATGACTGGCCAGCTCTGAGGAAGGGACTCTGCCTAGCAGACTGGGTGGGGCCTTGGACCTCCTGGGATGCTCTGTATGGTGGACCAGGGCTCCCAGTCCTTCCTGTGGTTCCTTCCAGACCTTCTTATCCCCATGCAGCTGGACTCACCCATACATCCAACCCAAGGCATGAGCCCCGGTGTCCAAGCCAGATGTCTGCAACTAAGCCTTCCTGCACCTGAAACATCCCTCCATGATCTACGCTGCCATGCAGCTGCCTGCACCACAGCTGCCCGCTTGTTCGGCCTACATTTCCGTCATGGCCCTCTCTGTACCAGGGCCTGTGCTGGGCACAGGACATCCTGGGGAGGGGGCGAGCGGGGGCTGCATACACTGAAATACTGTCCCAGTGCAATGTGATCGGCGCAGAAACACACAGGTACACCGAGGCAGGGAATAGGACTTCTTTCATGCCCCTAGAGTGATCTGAGAAACCCAGAGAAGGGTTGCACGAATGACTCCTCAAATTTCAGAGCAGGAAGAGCCCTTGAGAGATTGAGGGAAAGTGATTTTATGCAAGTATGGTCCAAGGACTCCCTTCAGAATTCCTAGAAGTACAGACTTGGACCCCACCTCAGACCTACTAAAATCTGAATCTATGGCACCCAGGCCTAGCAATCTTCATCTGTTTTTTTGTTTTTGTTTTTTTTTAAGTAAGCTCTAGGCCCAACGTGGGGCTTGAACTCACAACCCCGATATCAAGAGTCACATCACCTGCTCTACCATGTGAGCCAGCCAGGTGTCCCAGAAATCTTTAACAAGCACCACCCGCAAGTGATTCTTATGGGCTCTAAAGTTTGAGAAACACCACGTGGCCTAAAGCCCATCTTGAGAAAAGACAGGGAAACTGAAGCCCAGAGAGGGGTCATGGCTCACCCAAGATCACACAGCCACAGTGGCAGAGCCAAGGCGAGAACTTAGACCTCCTGACTCCCAGACCGGTGCTCTCTTTCCACTCTGCCCCAAAGGTGGAACCACACTGCCTGCCTCCACCCCTCTAGAAACCCCCTGCTACCACGCTGGCCCTGGGTACCCAGGACACTGTTGTGGCAACTGTGAGAACGTGCAATGAATGCACATTGAGTGCCCCCAATGTGTTTTAAATGACTGAATTAATTCGTATCAGCGAAATCTCTTCCTTCATGAAGGGACTGGTTTTTTTCAGTTTTAAAAAAAAAAAAAAAATGGACTCTCTCATTGTCCTCCAGGGCCAGCATCTGTCTCACTCCCTCCCCGAATAGCTGTCATTTGCCCCAGGGCTGGAGAAGCAGAAAGTTTTGCTCAGAGACAGCAGAATTGCAAGTCTCGGGAAGCCTGTCTTCAGCGGGGTGCGGGATCACAGCTGTGTGGGAGGCGGTCTCAACCCCACAGCTGACTCGTCTAATTTCGCTTCTTTTACGCAGAACAATTAGCGGCTGTTCTTTGCCTGCTATTTTGATTTGTGAGGATCCTTCAATTCCCAGAGGGGGCTGGGATGCTGGGAAGTGGGTGATGAAGCTGCTGTAGCTGGTCCAGGCAGGGCTGAGTGGCACCGCACTGACTGCTGGGCAGAGCCCCAGAGGCTCCCGTCCTAACCAGTGCCCCCACATCCTCCTCAACTAACCGACTGCCAAGCCTGGCCCTGCTGGCCTCCTGGGACAAATCATGCCGTTCTCCCGCTCTCAACCCCCTCCCCCCAGGAGCTCCCTGGGGTTCTCTCCGTATTCCATGAACTGGTTCCTACCACCTCTCAGGGCCTCGGCTCCCAGAACTTTCCCCTTGCCAGATGTGCCCCGCCCCCACCCCATTGGCCTCTCTGCAGTTCCTTGGGGCACAGCAAGCCCATTCCCACCTCAGGTCCTCTGGACTGCTCTTCCTTCAGCCTGGAACCCCACATTTTGCATGACTTGCTCCTTCCCTTAATTCAGGACTCTATTCGAATGTCACCTCCACAGAGAGGCCACGCCTGGCCGCCCTGTCTAAATACCCCTCTCCCCTCCATCTCTCCGTCTCCTTAAACTGCTTCATTTTTCTTTATAGCACGAGCCACCACCTGACTTATACTTCTTTTCTCTCCGTTTGCCTCTCTCACCCATGTAATCTCCCCGAAAGGGAGGGGACTTGGTCCATTTTGTTCCCTGCTGCATGGCTGGGCATACCAATAGCACCTGGCAAACAGCAGGCCCTTGATAGACATTTGTTTGCGTGCAGGTCTTAGTCCAGGCTCTCACGGAGACCATGCAGCCTCCTCCCTCCCCCCACAATTCATCGTCCAGGTAAGTCAGGGTGCTCACTACAAAAGTAGATTTGCTCAGAATACTCTACGGCTTATTAGTCTTCCACGACTCTCCATTGCCATCTGGATGAAAATCAGACCCCTCAGACTGCATTCCAATGGGGTAGACTCCTTCCCCATAGTGCCTTCCATGTCCCACCAGATTTGTAGTTCCTCAGATGCCCAGTCTAGCATGTCCTTCCTGCTAAGAAAAGCCACTGTAATGGTTTGGTGGGAATCCTTCCAACACACACACACACACACACACACACACACACACACACACACACACAGATTTTTATAAAATTTTCTTTGCCAATGTAATGCAATTACAAATTACTTTGTGTAAAAAAGTCATATAGTACTATAAATGAAAACAGGTTCCTAACTCCTCTTTCCTGCTCCCCAAAGGCAACATTTTTAATATGTTTAATTATTCTTCTAGTGATTATCTCCATAATTCTAAGTAATATGCATAGTTGGCTATTTCTTAATTTATCAGTTTTAGACAGTATGTGTTGAAGTTTGTATCAGTTAAGCCAGGCTACACAGCAGTAACAAATATTTCAGTGGCTTCACACAATAAGTTTATTTCTTATCCTTTCAGAGTCCATGCAGTGTCTCCAGGACAGCTATATTCCATAAGGCAATGCCAGTTCGTTTCAGACTTGTGGCTCTGCCATCTTAACCCAAGTCCTCCTTGATTAACACAGAGGAAAAGAAACAGCTGCAGGTGACTGACCAGAACTAGTCACGTGGCTCCACCCAATGACAAGGGGTTGAGAAGTACAGTCTTCTATGTGCCCAGAAGCAAGGAAAACCAGATATTAGTGAATACTAGTAATGTCCTCCACAACCCCTAATACACTAGATGAGTATTAATTCTCTTACACTACCCAGCTCCATTTCCTGTCTCCATCCATTCAGTATAGTTTTATCACAACTTCTAAATTTTTAGTTAAATTAAAATCTGGGATATAATATCTCTTTTTTGGGGTTTACATTCTCACTACTTTATAGATATTGCCCATTGCTGAACCAAATGGTATACTATAATTAAGTTTATTTCTCTGTACATATTTTTGGTTTTCCTGGAGTTGACAATTGCCTATCTTTTCCTCATTTGCTTAGTTCTACGTACATATTGTGAAATCTCCTCAAACATTCCAGCAGACTTGTAAAATGCTTTTTCTACACAGTCACATAATCTATCAGTTCCTTTTGTTTTGCTAGTGACTCACCTCCTGGAATCTTCCTCCTCCCTTTTAATTTGGAACTAGTTGCTTTCTAGGCCAGCTGCATAGCTGTCCTCCTGTGCTGAAGAGCCTGATTCCTGGTTTGCAAGTCTTTTCTATCTTGGATAATGCCCTCACTTTAGTGAAACACCTCTTCTAGTCACTTCCTAAGAAAGGACACATAGGAAGTAAAATTTTATACCCTTTTTATACCCATTTACACATGTCTGAGAATGTCTTTATTCTATCCTCACTTCTGATTTGACTGTATATGGAACAGTAAGTTGGAAATAGTTTTCCATCAGAATTTTGAAGGCATGGCTCCCTCATCTTCTAGCTTCAAGTGTTGCCACTGAGGTATCTGAAACCATTCTGATTCTTGGTGATGTGTATATAATCTGTTCTCTCCACCTTCAAAACATTTAGGGTCTTCTCTTTATCCCTGGTATTCTGATATTTTGTAATGAGATGCCTTAGGGTGGTTGTTTTCATTTGTATTGGTCCCTCTCATTCTGAAGATTCATGTCCTTCAATATGAAATATCCTCACTTCATATCTTTGATAATTAACTCCCTTCTGCTTTCCCTGGAATCCCTAGAAAATTGTCAGTCAGATATTGGGCCTCTTGATTGATCCTTTAATTTTCTTATCTTTCCTGTTTTCCATCTCTTTGTCTTTTTGGTACATCCTCTGGGAAATTTACTTTTCATTACCTCTCAACCTTTCTATTGACTTTTTTATTTTATTTTGGCTCTCATGTTTTATTTTCCCAGTGTCATTTCTCTTTCTTTTATTATTTCTTTTTTATATAGCATTTATAGCATCCTATTTCATGGATACAATATCTTCTCTTATCTCTCTGAGGATACTAATAATTTCTGTTTTGTATTTTCTTCTGCTCACT